GGCATGGGTTTAACCCAGGGCTTAGGGACCTAAAAAAAGGAAGGATTGGGATGAGAAGTTAGAGAACATCAACACGCTCATACACTCAATGTGATTTTGACCACCTACATACCCACAGGCTAAGGATGTGCCACGGGGTCCCCAGAGAGTCCCCGGGGGCCATCTCTGAGTTCAAGGAGCTCACCAACACAGCATCTGAGTCTAGAGGCTGACGATGGATGGGGAAGAACCGAGCATCCTAGAGAATGCACAGGGGGCGGGGGGTGGGGCAGGGGCTGGAGGTGGGGACAGCCTTTTCCAAAACCATGAGCTGAAAGCAGTTTTGTCAACAAAGTTGGTTCAAAGGTGAAACCTTTAAGTCATGCATGCCTTTAAAGCCCCACGAGGGGGATACGTATGTCCTCCCAGTACGAGGGCAGGGTGAGCCTCTGCGGGGGGAGGCTGTGCGCCTGGCGTGTCTCTGGGACTCAGTTGCCGCATCCATACAAGGGGTGTTATTTGAGCAGCGTCTCCGCACGGCTGTGGCTGAGGGCGTCACCGTGCTGGTTGGGTGGCGAACAGGAAGGCGCTTGGCCCCACCAGAGAGCCAGCGAGGCGCTCGGAGGGGCCCAGGGGAAAGCGCGCAGCGTGGTGTCAGTGTTCCTGCCAGCTCACCACGGTGGTCCCCTCAACCCCCAGCCATTAGCAAACCCTGCTTACCCTCCCGCTGACCGAGAGGCACAGCCCACCAGGTGTGAGGTGAGGACCAGGGGCCTTGGGAACGTGGATGAAAACTGAGATTATAACTGAATCACCATTCCTGGCAGCGAACTCGCCCAGGTTTTCCCTGTTCTTGTAGCGGTGATTGGAGATGTGGGTGGACGCTGGGGAACGGAGGGGATGCCGCTGGGTGTCTGCCACATGGGGAGCCAGTAGCTAAGGGAAAGCAGCGGGTGCCTTTGGCCACCCACAGTCTCTAAGGAAGAGCTTGAGAAGAGCCGTTGAGGTCCCATCCCCTACATCAAGGAAGTGCGTCGCTCAGTCTAACCTCATGGGTCTGGTGTGGAAGCCAAGAAATTCTAGCATGAAATATAGGCAGAGCCCTCCCGCTGATGAATTCTCAACTTCTTAGTACCGCCGTTTGCCCACCCGTCAAATGGGGCTAAGCGTGGTCGGTAATCACCCACACAAGTCATATTACTAAACAACGTGATCTACACGGAGATGGCGCACGCCTGCCATGTGAATACTGGGGAAGCTGAGGCAGTTGCATCCTTGAGCTCAGGAGTCCAAGGCCAGCCTGAGCCGCCGAGCGAGGCCCCATCCCCAAAGGGAAAGACAAAAATGGCTGAGCACCATACCTCGTCCAAGAGAAGCACTCTTTACTGAGTGCCCCCTTCACACCGGAGCTTTCTCACCTGTATTATGACACACCCCTGTGACATGTCTCTGAACCCATTTTACGGATTCAGAGCAGTGAAGCATCTGTCGGCAGTCACACAGTCAAGCCAGCACGGGAGCAGGCCTGTTCTGCTCCCTGCACCACACCCCAGTGTCACCAGCAGAGGTCAGCTGTGCTGACCCTCCTGCTGCAGGCCAGAGGACGACCCGGGCCCCGCGGCCTTTCCTAAAACCCCATCCCTTTCTCTCTCCTCTTCCTCCTTTTTAAGTAGCCAGACATTTCCCACTCCTCAAGATCCAGAAAGTAAGTCAGCAGAGCTGAGTCTGACGGGGCCAGCGGGGACAGGACAGTGCAGAAGGAAGGCAGCGCAGCAGGAAGAAGGTGAACTTGAACTTGGAGGCCGGAGGAAGACACAGGGCGGGAGGAGGGGTGGCGGGCCCACCTGATGAGGAAGGAACGGCATGAACTGAGATTTGAAAGATTTTTTTTTTTTAATTTTCCTTTCTGAAAGGTGCCAGAGATGTCGAGAAAGACAGGACATGATAGCTCATCCCTGAGTGCCACCCTGCAGAAGGGGGCTGCCAACCCAGGGCGAGACCACCTGCCTCCCAGGGGTGCTTCAGATGCAGAGAGGCGATGAGTCTGATAGGCTGGCAGGTGGTGAGAGAGCCTGACACGTGGCAGTCTCCGTGGTCTTGAACTGGAGGTGGCAGGCCGCAGCCTATCCCCGGGACACAGCCCTGCAGCTATGTTGTCTTCAACCCATAAACATCTTTAATTAGAGAAAATGTTGCAAACTCAGTAACTGCACCTCTGGTGGGGGGGATGGTTTGAGTCCTGGCTTTCCTGTTACAAGCAGTGTTGATTGTAGGCAAGTGACTTTCATGGCCCGGTGCCTCAGTTTACCCATCTGTAAAGTGGGAGTGGTGATAATAATAGTTCAGAGTGTGCTAGGTTTCCTGTGAAGATTAAATGAGCTAAGTACTGAACACAGCATCTAGTACAGAGTAAGCACTCTATAAGTTATTTAAAAGTGAGAAAAATCTTCCAAGGTGTTTGAGATGTCAGCTTTACCCTATATGCCAAAACCAGACTCATACATTGCAAGAAACCTACAACCCAATAATCCTCATGAGCATATGCACAATAACCCTCAAGAAGTCACAAATCGAATCCGGCATTATGTAAGAAAGATAATACATCAAAACCAACTTGAGTGTATCTAAGGAGCGCAAGGCTGGTTCAACATTTAAAAATTACTCAGTACAGTTCACCAAGTTAACAAACTAAAGGAGAAAAATCCAAATGATTCATCTCAATGGATATAGAAAAAAAGCATCTGGCAAAATTCATCATCCATTCATAAGAACTCACCAGACTAGGAACATAAAGAGAATTCCTGTAACCCAATAAAAGGCATCTACAAAGAATCTAGAGCTTACAGCACATTTAATAAAAGATGGCATGCTTCTCCCCAAGATCTGGAATGAGCCAAGAATGGCTGTTCTTACCACTCTTATTCAGCACTGCATTGGAAGTCCTAGCCAGAGTAATAAGGCAAGAAAAAGAAATAACAGCTCTAGAGAAAGGAAGAAATGAAGTCATTTCTATTCATAGGTAATAAATGGCCTTCATAGGAAATCACCAAGACTTTACAAAAAAGCTCCTAAAAACTCATAAGTGACGTCAGCATGTTTGCAGGACACATGGTTAATATGTTAAACCTACTGTATGACTATATACTAGCAATGAACAATCTGGATTTGAAAGTTAGGAATTTAAAATAATAAGTCTTTAAATTCCCGTGCAAAACCAGAAGAATTACATTAGGCTTACATTCCCAGAAGATAGCAATTTTCTGCAGCTGAACAGCTGCTTCCCCTGCCCCATTAAACAGGTAATAATATTTATATGGTTGAAAAACCTAAAAGTAAGAAACGGCACATGTTGAAAAATCTCCCTTCATCACTCCCTCCTGTTTGCCAATTCTCAAATCCACCACGGCACGGGTAACTGTTCTTATTAGTATTTAGCTTCTTAGGCAATCTCTCAGGGTATTCTTACTGCATATAAAGGCAAATAGGAATGGAGGATTTCCACTCTCCCTTTCTTTTCCTAACTCTCCCCGAAATGAGCACACTATACACATTGGCCTGCATTCGCTATGTTTCACTTAATCATCCAGAATGTTCCTAAGAAGCTTTGTCATTCTTGATGCAGAGGCATAGCATTCCATTGCAAATTTGTATTGAAATTTATTTATTGGCCGCCCCTTTCCAAAGCGCACATTTGCTCCAGTGCTAAACAATCCTTATATGATTGGCCATGTTCGTCCCCATGACTTGTCCTTGGACGCATTTGACCATAAGATTCCTGTCAAACAATGAATGCTTCCTCAGAAGTCCTGGGTTCCAGGCTTGCTCTGGCAATGACTCACCTTCCTAAGTCATTCTCGATGGGCCCGTCAGAGCCACAGGAAACCACGCTCTGCCTGGGCCGCGGACATGGCCCTTAGATGGTATCCAAGCATAAATCAATGGCACAGCAGTGCTGGGGACTGCCTGGCTGGCCTTGGGCCTCACAGTTTTTACCTTTGCATAGTTTCTGCAATGATCACATCGGGTCTGATTCATGAGATGGAACATAACATGGGAACTGGACGTGGACTTGAACGGTTTTCTTACCCTTGTTTGCTGTGCAACCTCAAGTAGAACCCTTCACTCTTCTGGGCCTCAGTTTTCTCATCTGCAACCAAAAAAAGGCCATCAGATTCAGCAGTGAAGAAAGTCATTTCTGATGTCCCACTGCCTGGGTGTGGATCCTGGCTCCCCTACTTGCTAGTCTGTTCGTTGGGCAGATTCCCCATCTTCTCCGAGCCGCAGCCTACTCAGCTTTGGGATGGAATGATAACCATACCTATCTCACAGGGTTATTTTGAGGATGAAATGAAATTGTAAAAGTGCTAGCGCCATTCTTGACATGTTGGCTCTCACCGAGTAAGAGTTCAGTCGCGTTATTAACCTTCTGTGCCTTGCACTGTTGCCGTGGCAATTGGAACTAATAAATGCAAGGGCTCCTCACGCATTGTAGGAGCTTAATAAATAGTAGCCGGCATTGTTTCATTGTCTAACACGCCCATGTGTTCAAGTCCCATAAAAGCCCGGTAGCCACCCTGCACTTTGTACATAGGTCTTTTCCATAAATTGCACAGTTCCATTCAAAGTGGAAATGAAAACTCTGTGCCCTGGCAAACTAGGAGAGAATGAGCCATCCGTGCCATGGTAAGCCCAGGGAATTTTTCCTCCTAAAAAGCTGCCTGGGATTCAGTGAAATTCTCAAAAATAATATCAGTGCAGAACACTGGCAAACATGGACAAGTACCAAGCAAGGCTCTCTGTGCGGCGGCCAGGGTCGCGAGCAGAAGGCGTCCTGCCATTGGATCCCCATGTGCATCGGAAGCACGTAGGTAAAGGCTGATACAAGATGCCGCTTGTGCACAGGTACCATGAGATGCTGCGGTGGGTGGAGTGTCCATGTCTCCAATCCCAGTATCTACAAAGGGCAGTAACTGAGTGCTAATGGAAATGAACAAAGTGGCCCAGATTTAAGAAATACTTTCCTTGTCCAAAGAATGGTGCTTCCCTGCTGGTTTTTTCTGAAAGCATGTGGTTCTCTGGATCTCTCATTTTCCCTGAGAGATTATCTGCAAAAAGAAAAAAAAAAAAAAAAAGAAAGAAAGAAAGAAAGCAAACACACTTATACTTTCCTCTTAATCATTGCTGACACTTGTGTAGTGCTTTCTATGAGGTAGGGATTCTTCAAAGCAGTTGCTGTGCAGAAACTCATTTAATTCTATGATAATTCTCTGAAGTCTAGATGATGCCCACTTTTCAGATGGGAACTTTGAGATACTAACCCCCGGTCACACACTAGGAAATGACAGAGCAGAATTCAGTGCTGATGCCCAGCTTTACTATTTGAGGGAAGAGCAGCTCACTCAGGATGACAGCTGACTGTGGGCGCTCGGCTGGGTGGGGAAATGGGGTTGGCCACCAGGAGGACAGGGCTGGACAGAGCTAGGAGGTCCGTGCCTCTCGCCTCTCCAGCCAGTGTGGTTCAGTGTTGCCAGATTGTTCTAAAAATCTAGAAATCCAGATTTTTACATAAAATCCCCAATGTTTCAATCTTGGCAACTAATTCAGAAATGTGAGCCAGCACTTTGTGAGCCAAACCAAACATCTCTGCAGGCTTGGTGTGGCCCACCAGGTTGCCAATTCATAAGCCCCAGGATAGGGGAGACGGCAAGAGCCACAAGGAACAGCCTGGAGTCACAGGAGAGAAGAATCTAGCATGGGGGGTGACGAATAATAGAGATAGAGACCCAGAGAAATAGGTGGCCAAACAGGAAGAGCATACCAACTCGGAAAAGCAGGGATTTGGCATAAATTGGGGAAAAAAAAAAAAACTCCAGGAAATACCACAATTGCATGTTGACAGGGCCTTGGAACATAAACCCACCATCTTTTGGAACAATCGTCCTTAGAGCCTGCCAGCAGGGTTGGTGAGGGTGTGGGCTCAGCAGTCCCCAAACCAGATCCCGACTCCCGTCTCATGGTGTCGTCAGAGCGGCGCTGGCAAGTTGCTCTATCCCGCTGAGCCTCAGTGTTCCTGTCTGCAGAGTGGGCACGTCAATGCCCTTCTCCTAGGGTACAGGGCAAGGAGGTGACTCAGGGCTGGCACATGGCACAGTGCTCAGCACTTCATGGCTGGTGGGTTGCTTTTCTTTTTAATTTGTTTTGTTTTGCCTTTTGAGAGGTCCAAACAGCCCCATTTCACAAAATCGGGAATCTGAGAGCTTTTCCAGAATTGCCGAGCGAGGACTGGGGGAGTCTGGTTCTCCCAACTCTTACTTAGTTTGCTTCCCACAGTCTCGATGCCGGTGGCCTCGGAGGAGACAGCAGAGTGATGGGGGTCAAGGGTAGGGAACTGGGGAGCACAGAGTGGTCACTGAGATTCAGGGAGCTCGTTGTGTTGGCATCTGGGATGATTTGGGGTGACACAGGTCTGCAGCATTAATCCCTTTCCAGTCTTAATCCTTCTGATTCCATGGAAGGGAAAGTCTCAGCTCAGGTGCACTGTGTCGTTAACCCCTTTTCAACCTGGGCTAAATCTCCTGCTTTAACACACACAGGGCAGGCCCCGGGCCCAGCTCCTGGGCTGGCAGCAGCGTCTGACTTGAATTTGATATCATGCCTGTATTGTCACTGCACTCATTTTTAAGGCGACTTTCTATTTACAAGAAAGCTGGCTTGTTATCAGGGGTCTCGTCTGTCGGAGCTGTCTAATATAGTCACCGCTGGTGACGTGCGGTGTTCTGTAAGTGACGTTTGACTAGTGCCACTGAAGGACTGAATCTGACCTCATTTCAATTCGTTTCCAATTAAAATCAGATCTTCAATTTAGGTATTAGAAAATAAATGCCTAACTGGAACTGGGTATGTGAATCTGCTCTTTCAACTGGATATTTTCTGACACCCGAACAGAGGTGAAGGAAAACTTAGCACCCATGCAGAGATGTGTTGGAGGTGTGAACTATACACTGGGTTTTGAAGATTCAGCACAGGGAAAAAAGAAAAAAAAAAAAAGCTGAATATCTCCGTAGTTGATACGGATGACATTTTGCATGTGTGTAGTTAAATTTAAAAAATAGTGTTAGGGCTGGGGTTGTGGCTCAGTGGGAGAGTGCTCACCTCGCACGTGTGAGACCCTGGGTTCGATCCTCAGCACCACATAAAAATAAATCAATCAAATAAAGATATTGTGCCCATGTATAACTAAAAAAAATGTAAAAAATATCTGTTTTCTCTTTAATTTTTTAATGTAGCTACTAAAATTTTTAATTGCATATTTGGCTCATATTACATTTATGTTGGATAACACTATCATACAGAGTGTAAATTTAAGATAAAGTTTGGGCTGTTATAACAGAGTACCTTAGGCGGGGTGGTTTGTGAGCCACAGAGATTTACTTCTCACACTTCTGGAGGACTGGAAGTCCCAGATCTGGGTGCCAGCAAGGACTTCAACCTGTGCATCTAGGAGGGCACGACCACCCAGTCCCTTGCAGTGGACCAATCACTGAAGTCCAGAGAACACTCATCAAATACCACGTCCTGAATGGAAAAATGGAGGCCAAAAGGCCCAGCATGTTCCCCAAGGATCCACGGCTGCTCGGGAGCAGAGCTGGACCTTGACCCAGGTCTTCCAGATTCCAAGTCCAGCGTGCCTTGGCCACTGCAACGGCAGGAGCGACCCCCTCCACCGGCTCCATGTTCACAGGAAGGAACTCCTCTATGTGGATGACCTTGGACCTTTGCTCTTCTATGACCCGGAAGCAGAATGGCCTGGGCTTCTCTTGAGGGAAGGTCATGACCAGCTGAAATGTCTGGAGGGGAAGCTAAGGACTTTCCACGCTGTGTGTGTGTTTTCATTTGCCCCGTGACCAGGAGGGGTGACAGAGATGTCAGAGCATGTCACAGGCTGCAGTCCCTCCTCTGGCCACCCAGCAGCCACCCTGTGCCCTCCAGGTACCAAGTGCTGTGCTAGCCCTGGCCACACCTCCAAGAAAGGCCTGTTCCCTGCTGCGCAGGATTCACACATCCATCCCCGGCCCCCAAATATCAGAAACCGTCATTCCACAGTGACACGTGCAGACCCACAGGATTGGGAACGTTCAGCTGTGGAAAGTTCATGAAGCAGAGACCCAGGGAGCTGTGAGGTCCACGCCTGAGGAACTTGACCCCACCAGAGGCCGAGGAAAGCGCCTGTGGGAGGGCGACTAAAACCTGGGGACAGGAAAGGGAAGAACAGAAGGCAAGGCGGAGGGAGCCCGTGAGCCATGACCCCGGTGGCAGGAGGGGACCGATGCACACCGCTGGGGACAGAAGAAAGACCAGAACATCGGGAGTAGGGGTGGGGGGCACCGCAGGAGCTGCAAAGAGAGAAGCAGGAGGACACAGGGACACTGCTCCAGGTGGGGATGGCACATTTCCAGTGTGTGAACTGATGTCCCCACCCCAGGAACTGCTTCCCCTTGTTTGCCAGAAACAGGGGGCAGCCGTTGGAGCCGGGGGAATGAACCGCTCTCCTGCCGCAGACGTTCCTTATCATCTCAGCTAAGGGCAAAGCGAGCTGTCAATCACGTCATGTCCACCCAGGGGTCTCGCCAGACACCCAGCCCTCACCCACACAGATGCCCACGCTGGCACCCACCACGCGCACGCAAACACACAGAGACACACAGGTACGGAGACAGGCGTGGAGCCCGCACAGACACGTGCAGACACTCTGCACACTCACACACGCACACTCACACAGACTCACACTCACATCCCAGCCACCTATATCACAGCCGAAGGCGCAGAATGACCAGTGGTTCTGCTCTAGCCGTGGCCTTTGCTTCCCGCATTCCCTGTCCCCAGCACAGGTCACCTCCACAGCCACCAACTAAAAGCATCTTCTACCTCTGGAAAGAAAAGTAGCAGCTTCCCCCTCGGGTGGGCACTGATGCGAGTTCCAAGGGGACAGTGCCGTAGCCGGGCAGGGCAGGCATCCCTTAAAGGAACCCCAGGGCCAGCAGGGCTGACCCTCAGGGCACAGGGCCCCACAGGGCCCCTGCCTCCCCGCCCAGGACCCTCCAGAACAGCGCTGCTCTCCAGCTGGTTCAGGAATCACGCTCAAGTCCCAGGGCTGCACGTGGCCGTGTGTGAGGTCGCGGGCAGGTCGGGTCCCCTCCTCTGAGCCCAGCCTGCTCACCTGGGGACGGGCTGTGCTACAGGGGAATGGAGCCCTTAAACTACGCCAGGCACCAGGAGCAAACAAAAGCCACCAAGAGGTCCCCACACAGGTCCAGCCCACCTACCCGGGAGACACGTGGCAAGCAAACGGGAAGCATCAACAAAACCACCTTAGGGACTGAGAAGTGTTTGGAGATCATGTCACCAGGAAAGGTGACAGGGCACTACATCACAGAGAGTGGTCAGTGATTGCCAAGGGCTCTCCAAAGACGCCATGTTGGAGCAGAATCTGAATAACCAGAGGAAGCCATCTGGAGGCCTGCAGAGGGAAGGGTGTGCCTGGCAGAGGGAACAGAACAGCGAGGGCAAAAGCCCAGAGGTGGGGAGGAGCTGGCCCCAGGACAGGTGTGGCTTCAGTGCACTGAGCAAAACAGGGGAGTGAGGGGTAAGGGGAAGGGGTCGGCATCAGCCGCGTTATGTCGGCCTTTTGGTCCATCGCGAGGACTTTGGATTTTACTCTTAAGAGTTGCTAGAAGACATAGGCGCTTTTAAGCAGGTGACATGAGTTAAGGTGTCTTTCAAAGGTCACCAGCTGCTATGGAAGAGTCAGTGGACCATGGTGGGAGGGGAGCAGCACAAAGAGGGAGGAGTCTGTGGCAGGAGGCGGGGCCTCGCGGGCACTGGGAGGAGGGAGGGGAGCCCTGGCAGGGTGCCCGGCACCACACCTGGCACCCAGCAAGAGGGGGGTCAGGGGTCACGTCCACTACCAGCCTCTCACATCCCACTCCTGCCCCGTCCAACGACCTCCAGTCTCCAAGGACAACAGAGACAACCTCCGCCAGCAAGCTCCTGATGTCCGTGCCTGGTTCTGGGGACTGTGCAGAGGTCCCCGTGGCACAACAGAGAGGCAACATTTTGGCGGTGGCAGGGGACGAACCTGTCCCTGGCCCAGCGGCGGGGGGGGTGAGGATCCCAAACAGAGAGGAAGGACGCGGTTCTGCGGGGCTGCCATCGACAGAGACGAGCAAGATGGAAAGGTCACCTTCAGCACTGTCACTTGACAAATGACCGGGATTGAGTTCTGGCCAGCAAGGCAGAGGGACAGTGTCACTGTGACTGCATTCAGTTCCAGCGACACAGAGTCCAACCAGAAGAGTGACACCCCCAAGACGGAGCAGAGACTCCAAGGACATCTTGAAAAGCAGCAGAGTTAGCTCAGGGGAGAGGAAGGAAGGGCTGGTGACTTCAGGGACCTTCTGCGACTAGACCTTCTAGCCAGAGGCGAGGGCTTCCCCTGGTGACGCCGTGCAGGTCAGCGCCATGCGGGTCAGCTAGTGTCCTTCTCAAGCACCCTCACTGCCCTTCCTGAAGAGGCCTGGACAAGGGTCCTAGCCAGCCCTCTGCCACCTGGAAAGACCCTTTGGCACGTGGGAGAAGCCTCTGTGAGGCCACCTTCCACAGCAGCACCTGCCCGTGACCAACACCCAGGGGAAGCTCAAGCAAGTCCACACTCTCAGGACTCAGACGGTAACATCTGGAAAACCGGGCCTCCCCCACGGTCACCAGGAGCCTGGAGCCATGTCACCGTAGCCTCCTGCAGACGGGTCTGTCTTTCCAGTGCACCACAGTCACAGTCCCCACCTCTCCTTAATGCCTCCCCTGTGCGAAGATTTTTCTTACAGGTGGCCTCTTCTTATTCGGTGCCCCTTGCCTTACCCCTGCACCAATTTGACATTGCTGTTTTGATGTCCACCTCCGGTTCATCTACAAATACCACACACACACACACACACACACACACACACACACGCACACACACACACACACGCACGCACACACACACACACGCACGCACGCACACACACACCTATGGCTCCTCTCAAAACCTCCTAAATGCCTTTCTGTG